CATAGATTTAATATTTATTGTATTGTTCCAGGGTGAACAATTCTTGGTTATGATTGTCTTCCTAATAATTAATGCCCTCATGCAAGGGCTAAAAAAACAAGTTGGAAATTAATTGCATGTGTAAAATATATCAACAGGAGCTTAAAATTAATTAGGCTAACTACAAGCATATAGAGAAATAATAACTCAATAGTTAAAAATATGCATAATTATTAAGCAATTGCATTTGTATCTTCAGAAATGCAAAGTATAACCTAAGGCTTTAACTTATTAGTCTTTGGTGCAATCATCATTAACATTTTCTTTTGCATTTTTATGAGTAATAAAGCAATGAATATAAAAGAAGAATTGAACTGGCAATCCCTATTAATCCGTGTGGCACTTGGAAATCCCCTGGAAATAACGGGGTGAGCCACCCCCTGACCAATTCCCCTTACCTGTGGCACCTCTGGGATCCTGCAGGAATGCTGGGCTGGAGCCCTGAGCTCTGTGTCTGTTTTATCAAATGTCATCCAGGCGTTTTTGTGACCTTTGTCAGAGGCCTCAGGACCCGTCAGCGCTCGGCTTGGGGGTGTGCAGGGACAGAGGAGAGGGAGCCAGGCTGGGCCAGGGGAGCAGCAGGAATTTCCCCATGGAAAGGGGGGTCAGACACTGGAACTGCCCAGGGAGGTTTGCAGTGCCCATCCCTGGAGGTGGCACTGGGTGCTCTGGGCTGGGGACAGGTGGGGATGGGACAGGTGTGGGAGGGCTGCTCCAGCAGCTCCTCAGCTCTGCCTTTCCACAGGGACTCCCTTGAATCCATCTGTATTCCCAGTGGGACCAGGAGCTCACAGCCAGGGCTGTTCTGCCTGCCCTGAGCTCTGCTGTGAGGGACTGGAACATCCACTCCTGCTCCAGAGGGTTCCTGGGATGGCACAAGGAGATACCAGGGGATGGCACAGGGAGTTATCCTGGTACCCTGGCAGGGAGAGCTCCCACTGTCCCAGGCTGCTCCAAACCCATCCAGCCTGGCCTTGGGCACTGCCAGGGATCCAGGGACAGCCCCAGCTGCTCTGGGAATTCCATCCCAGGGCCTGCCCACCCTGCCAGGGAACAATTCCTGCCCAAGATCCCATCCAGCCCTGCCCTCTGGCACTGGCAGCCATTCCCTGTGTCCTGTCCCTCCATCCCTTGTCCCAGCTCCCATCCTGCTGTGGATGGGCTGAGCAGGGAGGGAGGCCGAGGTTTGGGACAGTGGTTCCCATGGGATACCCTGGGACAGGGTGACAGGGACACTGGGAGCCAGGAGGGGGTTTGGGATGATGGGAATCAGCAGGACAGGGTGACAGGGACACAGGGAGCCAGGAGAGGGTTTGGGATGATGGGATTCTGGCCGTGGCAGTGGCAGGCAGGCCTGAGCCCGTGGTGTCCCCGAGGACAGGGCTGTGTCCCTGTGTCCCTGTGTCCCTTCTGTGGAGATGCTGCAGCCCCAGCACCCTCTGGCACCCTGGATCAGGGGTTTTGGGGCTGGGTTTGGGTGCTGAGGGTGCACAGCTGGCACAGGTCACCAGATCCCAACCCTGGGCCACCCCTGTCCCCAGGTCCCCCCGGTGTCCCTTCCGTGTCCCCTTGTCCTTCCCCAGCCCACAGCAGCCCAGCTCCTGCTTCCAGCGCTCCCAAACGCCCGGAGCAGGGAGCAGGGACACAAAACCCTGCTGCCATCAGCCACTTGACATCTTATCTTTATTTGCATCCATCCAGGCTGGGCAGGCTCGGGACAGCCCTGGCTGTGGCTCCCAGCCCCTCTCCTGTGCCCTCCACCTCATCCCTGTGGGAATCTGCTCCCGACACGGGAGCTGTGAATAATTCAGTTTTCCATGGAAATGCCTTTTACAGATTCAGTCAGGAACCACAACCTCGGGTTTTTATTTAAACATGTATAATGTTCCCAAAGTAATACTCTAGGCCCTTTTTCTGTTTAATAAACCCCCTTAATGTCCCCTAAATATTAATGTACTGATTTAGTCTTTGCAATGTTTGCAAAGTCTAATTTGTTTCCTCAGCCAGGCCAAGAGGGACTTGCATTTGAAGCTAACGAGATAAATCTTCCCCAAATTTATTTAAAGTGGGACAAAATAAATATGCAAAAGACTTTAAAATCATCTAACAACCACTTCCCAGCTAAAACTGACAATCCATTACTCTTTTAAATTGCCAGCACTCGAGCAGGGTGTCAGTTTTCTTTATAAAATTAACTTGCTGGTGCCAGCCGCCCTTACCATCCTGTCCCTGCTCAGCAGAGGGAGAAAAAGATGGGAAAACAGTTCTGGAGAGGGGGGTTTGCTCTGGGAGGTTTGCTGAGGGACAGAGACCCCCTGGCCCTGCCACGGCCTCGCTGCAGCTCCTGCAGTGCTGTGCCATCAGCGTCTGATCCCAGTGCTCTCACCAGGATTTGTGCCTTTTATCCATTCATTAAATTCCTCCCCCACTCGTCCCTCCCAGGGGCTGCGGGGGATCTCTCACTCTGAAATAGGTTTGAGAGCTTTTTCCCTGCCCTGCCGGGCTCAGGGCACTGGAAATGTTGGTGCTGGGAGGTGATCTCATTTACAGGGATGGAAATCAGGGATATTTTATCTGGAGTGGAGCAGGGCTGCTCTCATCTGAAACTCATAATTCTGCCACGTTGGAGGTGCTTTAGTCACGGCTGCAACCGAATTTCCATTTTAAACCTGAAATTTCCATCTTGTGGGATCTGCAGGCGGAGGACAGTCGGCACAAAATGATCATTTCCTGGGGGGCCTGAAGAGTGCTGCTTCTGTTCCACTGAATTAAGTGCCCTGGGATGGTTGGTGACCCCTGAGACTCTCGCTGGAGGTGCCTGAAGCAGAGTCCAAAGGGTCTTTCAGGAACTTCTTGTGTTATGTGGCAATGCCAGGCGCAGAAAGAGGAAAAAACATGGGATAAAGCTAAAAAACCAAACCATCCCCCCGGAGAAAACGCTTGGGTTAAACAAAATAAGGATCCACCTCCCTCAGTGAAACAAATCCACCCAGCTGGGGAGGTCCTGGGAGCCCCAGGCTGCCAGAAGGACCCCAAACCATTCTTCCAGGGGCTGTGGGGTTCCTGGGAAGGAAGGGGATGAAGCAGGAGGACTCTGGAACAGCTCAGTGTCCCAGCTGAGCCCCCTGGCTGAGGGAAGGACCGAGGGCAGCCGCTCCCCTTTAGCCTGACGGCAGCTCATGGCACGCTGAACATCCTCCTGGAGACACCACCGTCGGATAAAAACCTCTTCTCAGGTCCAGTCATCGCTGGAAGAGCGAGACATCCTCATTTCCTCGTGTTCTGCACACACTCCTGTGCTCTGCACACTCCTCCTTCACTTCCAAACCCCCACAGTTCCATTCCGAGTTTGTAGCCTAGGAAGGGGTAAAGGGAGGATGATGACAATATCTGATATTTGCAGGCAGCCAAATCCACCAGTTGGAAAGAGCAGAAGCAAATGCCTGTCTTTAAAAAGAATGGATGGAGCTAATTTAGGAAAATTTCTGGAGACGACTGAGAAAACAACCGAGAAGGGAAGTGGCAGATTCATCCTGTGGGACTGGATTGTGAGGAATTTGAAAGGCAGCTTTAAAGGGTTGGGATTGAATGTTTCCTGCCAGGAAAATCTCCATTTGAAGGAGTGGATCTTTGATTGCACAGCTTCCCTAAAGGTGTGAGGAAAACTTTCAGTTGTCCACCCAAAGATTCCAGGGCAGCAAAGGCCGTGGTTCCCGTCCCTGGCAGGGCTCAGGGACAGGAGGGGACAGCTCTGGGGACAGGCTCTGCTCCAGGGACAAGGGCAAAGGGGAGCTTTGGGCTGGAGATCAGGAGGGGTTTTCCCTGGAAAAGCTGTCCAGCCCTGGAGAGGTTTCCAAGCCCTTTGAGGCTTTGTGGACACGGGGCAGTGCTGGGGGAGTGATTTGGACTCCAGGCTCTGGGAGGGCTTTTCCACCCCGAAGGACTCTGTGATTCCCTGATTCCCTCTCTCTGTTTCCTTCAAACCCAGCGCTGTGACATTCCATGGTGGCTCCTGGGAGCAGGTCTGGCAGGGAGATCTGTGAGGAATCTCCTTGCAGCACCAACACAGTGCAAAGCAGAGACTGAAACTGCCGGGCTCCGTCTCCTGCACGTCAGGACAATAAAATAGTACAAGATCTTTAGCTCCAGACGAGGAAACTACAGCAAAATCAAACCACAGAGCATTGATTCGTAATACAATCCCATAATATGACTCCAGCTCCTATTATACCCACTTATCACAGGTCTTTTATCCCAGCTACTCAGACAAAAGCTGGGGAATTTGAGCAGGCAGCACAGCACAGCCCCATGGGTGAATTTTGAATGCTGTGCTGGAGGAGATGCAGGCACAGAACCTCCTCTTTCAC